ACTGTTCACTGCAGTCACGCCACCATCCACAACAGGCACAAGGGACATACAATGTAGATACTGTACAATCATGTACTTTATAGACGAGTCACTGCACACGGTACGTCGTTGCTAAATCCTTGAAGCAGTGCTTGATACCAGAGACAAAAAGACACAGCAGCCTCGTTCCATTCCTAACTAATACTTGTGTAGCCGAGATAGTACCGTAAATAAATATATGTATAATGCTTCAAGGTTGAATGATTGCTGTCCAGGGTCAAGAACAACAGAACATTATAAGCATAGTATGTTATCCAGGTACAGTGAAACCTGTCTAGCTAAGGCGATCGCTCAAGGGACCTTCAAAACACGGTCTCTGCTACCAGGTGGTCTCCTTATCCAGGGTCATTTGACTGGAAATAGCATCCTTGGGTCCTGGTTGCAGTGGTCTTCTGGGACAGGTGGTCGCCTTGTCCGAGTGGTCCCATTGGCAGGTTTTACTGTACGTCGTTTACGTTGCAGAGGATAGTTTCCACTGCATCTGTTAGAAGCACATGTCAATGTCCATACATGTCATTGATCGGTTAATGTAGACACCGCACATTTCTATGTTGTGAGCCTTGTGGCAGGTTGAAGAGCTCAACGTGTCGATGCATGATTACGTAAAGTTGTTCAGGTGCCAAATTGAATTCGATTGTCCCTAGACACTTCTAAGTGGCGACACGTGTGTATCATTCGAGGAGAAATACTCCTGATGACTACAATCTAGACTGAAGTTCATTCACCAGAGAGCGAGAGATGGAGAGATCGACCTGCATCGGACAGCTAGTAGAGAAAACAAAGGAACGCCAGTGAACCTTAATGTGGAAGCAATCCTGAAGTAACTTGGTTATTATTGTTCTTGGGTTTCACCAGACGTTTGGACTTCTGATGAAGTGGCCTACATGTACACGACGTTTTCAAAGTACATTCTTTATTCTTTATTCTTTACTCCTTATTTCCACGATGGCCCAAGGCCAATAAGGAAACATGGTCGCGGTCACTAACCATGCATGATCGCTGCGGGTTGGCATACAGTCGAAACATGTAAAGAGGCACATACAATGTACTGACCTGCAGCGTTCATTTCCATTTCAGCTTCCTTGTTGCTGTTCCTTGTCCATGGTGGGTGTTTGAAGGTTAACCGCAATTGCGTCTACGCACTATAATCTTTCTAAGGAAATGGCAGTTTTCAAAACGGTTTCATTCAACGGGTAAAATTCTCGTACCAAATTGGCGAAGCACCAGTTCCCATTGAGTGCAATTGGCCTACGAGTCGTATGCTAGTAGTAGTAGTGCGGGAGCACTGCTCGTCTTCCCTCAGTATGCAACTACACTGAGACTTCTGGAGAAGCATCATGCATACATGTACAGTAAAGAAACCTGTCTCACACGACCGCACAAGGGACCTTCAAAATGTGGTCTCTGTTTCCAGGTGGTCGCCGTATGCAGGGTCAATTGACTGGAAATAGCAACCCTTTGGTTCTGGTTGCAGTGGTCTTCAAGAGCAGTTGGTCGCCTTATCCGAGTGGTCGCCTTGTCAGGTCTTACTGTGCAATGTTTGGTCCCAACTGCCAACTCAGGCTAGTATCTGCCACAAAACATGCATGTACACTGTATACAATTCGTCACTTACATGTACATGTATATGACCAATACATCATGTACATGTACATTGTACCTTGGCTGGCTATCCAGCCAAGCATTTTTGTCCATTGTGATTTGCTTGTTTTGAAGTGCTGCTGGGACGATCGTACGTTGCGAGTGACTCATGAGCAATGTCGGAGCTTGCTTGTCCGTTATGTCCAGTTACTCAGCCGAACACACGGGCCCTCATTCTGGCCCTCAACAGGAGACGGTATTCACTATTAGTCACCAAGCAAATCTAAAGATAAATTAATGGCACTTGCATTGTCAATTTGTGAACCTGGCCTCAAATAGAATCACATAATTATGATCTTGACGTAGTTGAATCATAACGAGGTTATCGTGGTTGTTTTACCTACAGTGACAACATGCAGCTTAGCTGGATTGGATGTTACTTGTAGACTCTACATGTGCATGGATGTACTAGGAGCTTGGGCTGTACAAGTACAACATCGATCCTATGTGAAATTTAATTATCTGGATGGGCCCTGGCTGTTAACACTCCTCCTTTGGTCGCGCTTGACAATTTTTCTATGATATCTTCACCGCGCCCCTCGCTTCGGTGCCAGATCTAATTTGCCAGCAGGCACCTTATAATTTGATTACTAGTGTGAGCTCACGAACGCAGTTTTCCTTCAGGCCTCACCACGCCTCAGTGGTTGATCGCAGGGCTTGTTTATGCTAGCTTGAAGATTAGCATACCAGACAAGTAAGTACGTGTATTAGTTATTTGGAGGTTTGCAAGTCACACTCTACAGAGTAGAGACCATGCACTGACTGTTTGCACTACAAACTCTCACCTGTATCCGGTGTGTCATGTAGTATTTCTTTCCTTTCTTCGTCTTTTTGTGAGAGCTTGGACAATCCACTTGTCCAGGCAAGAAGGCAGCAATGCCTGTTCATTCTGGCGAAGTAAAATAAAGTATACCAACCAACCATGTACTACTAGTAGTGCTATAGTCATGTACATGTAGATCTAAACACACGGGCGCACGCTCCAACACGCGTGTGCTTACACATATTTAGCCCAATGAGCAATAATGTCTTATGTTTTTTTTTAGAAAGGATTGGGAGAACTTCAAATTCAAAGGATTAGTTGGGGAAGTGAACTGCCTGAAAATAGAAAACAAATCACCAGACCCACCAGTCCTGGTGTGTCTGGCTTTTGTTTTAGAATTGTGATAAACAGAACGAGCCGAACAGTCATTTCACAAAGGATATTTTTCTTCTGAAAGACCACTAATTCTTCCTCCAACAAATGAATAACCAACTCATTCAATAACTCAATCAAGTAAGTTCACGAGCTGAAGCCGTGAAGGTACATTCTACTTGTACATGTAGATGTAGATGTACATGTGTACATCTACATGTACATGTACAAGTTATGCTATTATCCACTAACACCACCAGTTACATTGTACTTTACAATCAGCTCATGCTCATGCTTCATTGAATTTGCTGTACATTTTTTGAGTAGGGTTCCAATTTACTGATATCACAGTCCTCCTTTCATGCAATAATCCTTATGCCAGTTGCACAGATAAACGAAATCCCGCAGAATCCCGTAGACCCCGTTGGGTGTTGAATGTGCAGGACCCTATTGTGTTTTCTGCTATTTACACTAAGAAATGGGCCCTTTTTCAGTTCAGTTCGTTGCCTCAAGAGGGCCCTGAACGCATTTCATACGAAACCTTTTTTCTGACAAAGATCTACTACGTCTAGCTAGTCATTACTTCTTAACCAAAGTGAAGAAGCTGGAAAAGCGATTGCTTGCTATTTAATTATGAGGCTAAAATTGGTCAAATGCGCATGCATAGCACACAATGAACGCGTCTACGGGATTCTACGGGATTTCGTGGGTCTGTACAACTGCTTGAACTGGCATAAGGTCTATTGTTTTCAGTACTTGAATTGTGTTCTACTCCTCAATAAATTGCCTTGAAATTGTGTTTTGTTTGCCCGTAAAAGAGGCTACTAATAATACATATCAGCTCATGCGATAACATTGCACGACACTGATCAACGGTACGGACGTTCTACATTAATTAAATTTTACATATACATGTACATGTACATGTTCATTGTAAGTGGCAGTCTGCTCTAGCCTCTAGCACATCTTGTACGCACCCTCCAACAGTCTTCCAACTTGGTATGGTATGGTATTGATATAATATTTGAATTCGGTATCTCAACAGTATAATGTACCACTTGGGAAGATCCGAATGACATACATGTACATGTAGATACATAAACATAAAAGTGGAGCTTGGACTTTCATCTCGTGCTTGTCTTGGTTGCGCTCATCTTTAGGCTACTCATCTTCCCCTCCTTACATGTATGCTATTTCTAAACCTTAGAACCTTCCAAGTTGTCGTTTCTCGACTGCCTCCATGTGGACGGGACTGCTGATGAGCGATACAAGCACAATGACATTAGTTATTATAATAAAATCTTGATTAGTTTGAGGGAAAGACACAAACGGGAAAAGTCTGAAGAAAAAATTGACTGTCACCACCAGGACTCGAACCAGGGACCCTCGCTTGTACCCAGCGATGCTCTAAACACTGAGAATAATAAAATAACTATACATGTACATACATGTACATGTATAGTTATTATAATAAACCGACTCCCTGATGCCGCTGATGGGAATGAAAAACTAATAATATTATTATTAGTTTTTCATTCCCATCAGCGGCATCAGGGAGTCGGTTTATTCCACTCCCTGATTTCACGAAGCTACGGACATACATGTATTGCATTTGTACATGTAAATCTAACTAAATCATACATTAATTTTTACAGTAAGTAAATTTTGAGGGAGTTGAAATGGAGTTCGATCTGCTGGTACATGTACAGACTGACCACGCACTGTACAATTACAGTTCTGTCCGCAGATTGAGTAATGTACACGTCCGTACACCATGTACACGTACACGTGACCTACGCTCTAATGAGTTCTGGACGTCATCAAGATCAGATGACTGTATGTACAGTACTGGCTTTGTACACGCACAGCGCATAGCATGCAGGGCTAGCAAGCCTAGCATGGCCACTTATTCATTACGACATTATTAGTTATTGCCAATATTGGGGACCTGGTCTGGTCCTGGATCGATCTTGCCCTGTTCACCCCGCTGCGCTGCAGCATGTTTATCGGGGATGAGGAGTCGTTTTTGATTGTACAATGATTACTGTATGTACATTATGATGTGCTGGGCATGGGCAGCCCGTCGACATGATCAGTGCAACTGTCTGTAGTGTAGATCTACGCACTAGGTGGCTGGATCATGGACTCAACTGGACGTAGAATACACACGCACGGAATCTGATGCAGCATGTCGCATTTTTGCGGCAGTATTTTGTCAGCTTGCGACTTCTTTCGTCATTTGCGCTTTTGATTTGCTATTTAGGTCGAAGAGGAACGATACAGGTTGCTCAGTTGGACTCTTGCTCTCGCGGAGCGGTGTGCGTGGCTGGCTGATTAATCCGTTCTGTTCTCGTGTAGTAGGATCGTAGCATTGGGTTTGTTGAAGTAAGTCTAGCTCAAGTAGTTCGCCGCGGCTCTCGTGAGCAGTGGTATAGCTCGGTAGCCAGAGAAATCGTTCTTGCACGGCGGAAGGTCTGCTAAACGCCTTGTGGACCCCCTCCGCCTCGGCGATTGCTCTAGAAAAGTCCTTTTCAATTGAACCGCCATTATAAATAAATTGCTCCCCGTTAGTGGAGGTGGTCCCTGGCTGATAGCTCTGCAAAGTAGCAATCATCAACCGACTTGCGAATATCCGGAATGAGTATAAACGTGAATTTGCCGTTTTGTCCTCCAGTCATCAAGCGACTCACTAGCCATGTGAAAGAAGGTAGTGGACAAGATGATCAGCCAACGGACAAAGACTGGATCGACAAAGCGGTTCGCTCGCTTGTGAAAAAACTCAAGCGGAGCGGTCAGACAGCTGAGTTAGAGCGTGCGCTAACGTCGCAAGGCAGTCGGACTGGCTGCGTGTACATCCCTCGATCACTGGACGGACGCTTGCAGATCGCGCATCGCAAGGGCTTGCCTCATGTCATCTACTGCAGGCTATTCCGCTGGCCGTCTCTGCAGACTCACCACGAGCTGAAGGCTGTGGACTGGTGTGAGTTCGCCTTCAACCTGAAAAAGGACGATGTTTGCGTCAACCCGTATCATTACGAGCGCGTGGAAGCTCCAAGTAAGTGAACACAGCTAGCGCTGCACTCACCTCTATGCTGTTGTCAACTGATTGTGTTTTTGTCTCTACTGGCGAGCTGCGTGCAACATGTGAGTGCGAGTTTGTCGCTTCATATCTCCTTTATCGTGGCGCTAGTTTTTCTTCAGCACTTCAGCTTTCAGAACTAGCTTTGTTGTTGCTACTCCTGCCATCGTTGGTGGCAGTGTGATACTAGTAAAATTAATGATAGGCCAGGCCCTGTCGGTGTCACGGAACTCCTCAACTCCCTACATACTACAGTAGCTTGACTCCGAAGTGGTTGAAACGTGTGCATGCCGCGGGCGACGTCCTGTCTGGGGTATGAATGTTCTGTCATCCGTCACTCATTCCGCCCGCGTCTTTGTAAAGCGAATACTACTAGTATGTAAAGACTCTAAAGTCAAGAGTTTACCTTGCAATCTATCTTCATCAATTTCGAACGGGAAATCTCACGTCCAAAATGGCGCTCCTCGTGTTGGAACGTGTGTTGTCAACGTGAAATAGTGAAATAGGTCCATCTCCTGTTGGAGAAAAGCGTGAAGTAATTCCAACTGTTTTGATATCAAATCTTCGGGAATCTAGATAACTGAATACTTCACTACAGCTCGATGTGTTTTGCTTTTGTTTTGGAAACGAATCACCGTCGCCAATTTTTGTTTACAGCTACCTGTGACTAACGACCACCCCTTGGGGCCAGAGAAAGCGGTCTTTATCGGCAGGTGGTCCTTGGTTAGAGGTTTGCAACGCACAACCATAAGGAACGGATACTCCCTCGACTTAGGCTGAGGCCTGTGGAGACAAATACAAAATAATACAAATGTGAGACCGTGCGTGCCTGGCGAAGTGGTCTGTAGTACCAGGCTGGTCGCTAGTCACGGTGGTCTGTAGTACCAGGCTGGTCGCTAGTCACGGTGGTCTGTAGTACCAGGCTGGTCGCTAGTCACGGTGGTCTTTAGTACCAGGCTGGTCGCTAGTCCCGCTGGTCTGTAGTACCAGGCTGGTCGCTAGTCACGGTGGTCTTTAGTACCAGGTTTTACTTTACATGTAGCTATAGGTTGTGCAGGTGCTTCTGTTTGGAGAAGGAAGGAACTTTTTGCCGCAGTTTGTGACTGAAATTACATGTACTACTTGCAAGTCCGGTGAGTGTCGCTGCCGAACCCAGCCGAGCCGATAGTGCTTTCAATTCTGCTAAAAGTGCCGCTATGACGGCAACCAGTTCGTCGTCGTCCAAATCACCAAGCCCGACTGCAGCAACAGAGACAGGTCCGCGCCTACTTCATCACCCATTTGGTCCTGGAGAGGGAGAAGTACAATATTGTACTACTCCCTGGTCCTGTCCGCAACGAGATGAAAGGGAAAAGGTGAGCATCTCAATGTTTGGTCGCGAGCTAAACATGATGTCGTTCAACACTCCCAAAAACTCACCGAAATGCACTACGTGCAATGCACTACGTGCAATGCACTACGTGCAACGTAGACTCTTGACACCACTTGAACGCGGTCAAATTCAACGCATGTATAATTCTGCATTTAAACGTGCAACGATAACTCTCTAAAGTCAGTCTGTCTACAAGAAAATCTAATTCGTCCTCTGCGAAAAACCTGGTACTACTAGCGATCTCCATCGCATCTAATGACCAACTGTAATCAGATGTACTCGAGTTTCTAACCGGCAAGCGTGTTGTCGTTTTGCCGCTTGTACGAAGATCTGATCTGTAGGAGATGAGCATTGCTAATCTTCTCCATTCCGCTGACTCCAGTATTCTCTTTCTCTGAAAGAACTGAGCAGTCACGCGGCGCAGCACGTAGCAACAGACGTTGATGTGGCGTGTTGTAGGTATGAGTCATTTGAGTTTGGAGCCGAGATGACTGCCTGCGTTTGTAAGCTTGAGCCAGTCAACTCAATGGCACTGGTGGCACGCGGCATTGTAAAGACACTGAAGTACGTAGACTTTAGTTGTGATCCTCCCTACGCTGAACATACTCATACATGTCGTGACTCGCATAGGTCAGTCACTATTTGACTCCTTTCAAGTACATGTGTTCTCGCATTTCTGCATGAAAATTGAGTATCCGTAAGTATTAAGTTGATAAACTTCGTTTGGTGTGTGAAGGGCAACCATTGACCAATAAATTAATTGGAACCACTTTGCTTGCTGTGTTGCTATTAATTTGTCCGCCAACTGGGAGGGTTGTTGGCAGATGAGTGCTCTCTTGTGCTGCGAAAGTGCTGTTCTCATTGGCTCTTTCGACTGTGGTTGCTCAATCAAGTCCCATCGAATAGTGACATCTCAGATGAGCGAAGTTGCCCTTGGTCCATGCTGTGTGCTCTGAGATAGCTGGTGGCCACTAATAGCAGAAGCTGTTAGTAAGGTTTTGTCGGCAATGCATGAGAAATGTTAGTGTTTTGTTTATTCTGAATATTTGGCGGGGCACAATGGAGCCTGTCAGGCGTGGGGTTCTGATGCCAGGCTCCCATGCAGGTAGCACTATTCACTGACAGGATACTGGCCAGTTTCATTGGCATGTGAGTGAATTGACAGACTGCAGGCTATCACGAATTTTATGTTTGGTGTGGTAGCAGATCCGTCGAGATACAGGGGCGACGAGGGCACTGATTGCCTTTACCGAGATGAACATGTCAGGCCTGCACTATTCTACACGGAGAGTTCAGCAGGCCTGCCATAGAAAACACGAGCCTAGCCTGTTGAATATGGTGGTGATGTCATGTCCATTGGCGTATTGGCCTGCCGTCCTGTCGTGTTCGTCATAAACCCCAATCATTTCAGCGGCATCAAATTTTGCGCACACTCACCACTCTAACCGTAATCCTCATCAAACCAGAATCATAAAAATTATAAACCCATCAGGTTTGGAAGTCAGAATTTATACTACACTCATTTTTGAAACATGAAGGTTTACACTGTGCCATCAGCTCTATCTTGTCATCAGCTCTGTATTCCTAGCTTGACTGACATAACAGCCGCCTGCCAGTGATCTGGCCGCGCCTGCTATAAGGTAGCCAGCCTTTGTAGTCACAACGATGCTTTGAGGAAGAGTACAAGACCGAGATGGTTGGAAGCAACTGCTGTGTTTTCGGCAGAGTCTAATGTTAGGCAGAGTGTTAGCACCTGTTGGTGGTGTTTTGGCAATGAGCTAGGTGTATGCTGGCAGAGATGCGGACCCTCATGGGTAGGGCACAGCAGCTAGCAGGGGCTGGATAAGCAAAAAGCAGGTACTGTGAGCTTAGACGTTTGTGGATGGTTGGGCGTGTTCTGATGTCATTTGCCGAAGGAAGTTGTCTTCGTTTCGTGTCGTGACACACACGGACGGTGACTGTAGGCAATTGAAATGTATCTTTTAATTACTTCACATGATCTCCTGGAGGTTAGAAAGCATTATTTGGAAGTACGTCCATGCCTTGCTACTGTGTAAGGCTTTGGCAGGTGAAATTGTGGTGATCCTTGAATGTAAACTTTCATGAAGCTGTTCGGAAACAGCTCTCATATTCACCTGGAGGAATATTTGGTGGAGCTCTTTCTCGGTCGTAATGAGTGTTGTCCTCGGTAGTGAGGATACTCTGTTAAGTGTTAGTGTGTTAGAAAGTCTTGTGTGGTGACTGGTGGTGAAGGAAAATATACATTTTCTTTGTTTCACATGGAATCTGTGTGGCAAGCAGCAAAAAACCCTGTTTCTTTGAATGGTGAGCAGAGGGCTGTGCTTGTTCACTTTGCGCGTGTGCACAGTCCGCTTTGAAACTCTTCCCTTTGAATAGATTTGGGTGTTGACAGGAGCCCCCCCCCCCCCCCCCCCCCGTGCTGGGTGGAATTGATCCAATCTTCAGGTGCATGGATTCCTCGTGCAGGCCTTTTTCTCTAACAAATGCATTCTCTGCATGGTACACTGAAGAGACCGATGGGGGTCTTTCATTTTCACAGCCTGTCCGGCTTTTCACTATTTTATGTTGGTGGTGAGAACCATCTGTTGGTATTTGGCAAGCTTCAATGTAGACATTCGCTCAGTGGTAAATCCATCCAAATATGTCCTCTCGCCCAACTGGACTTGCAATATTATACCAAGTCTTGAACAAGCAACTAGATTTGAGGGCCTAGCTAATAGCCATGCACACAGAGGTGTTCGATAGAGAACTTGCCTCGACCCTTCAGAATGTGTCTACTTGATTAGAATTAGTATATGTTGTATTGGACTCGAAAACATCCCTATCTGGATTGTTAGTGGGGCAGTTGTAGCAAGTGGGTCGAGTGTATTATACATGTGAGAAGAATGTTATAGGATGTGCTCACTCCACGACGACGTGTTGTATATTCTAATTGTGCAGTTTAGGACAAGATAAGGGTCTTCTCTTCAGCCATAGACCCCTTAGCTCGTTTTGTTTCAGATGTTTGCGAAGCGTGTTTGGAAAGTGGAAGTTTCCTTTGTGTTCATTCTAAAGTTCGAACATCGCCTTTCTAGTTTGGGGGCTGAAGCTTCGTGTGAAGGCAACTCTGATTGTACATTGAGGGTAGCTGAGATGCAGGAGGAGAATGTGCTTTGAAAACACACCACGCGTCTTGACAGTCAAGGCTGGAAGTTGATGGCCACGCATGCACGAGATCTTTGTCTATTTTTTGACAGTGCCTCCTGGTGGTGGTGGTGGTGGTTGAGGTCCACTGCTGTGCTGTAGAGTTCACTCCTGTCACCAGTAGCTACAGGATTTGTATGCTGCCTTTGTATGCTGCCTTTGCAGGCAGCAGGAACGTTGACAATGTCCCCAGTGCCACAGCAGCACGTGCCAGCTATTTAGGTCAGAACACAAGAGTGATAGTGACGTGTTTGGGGCTGCAGCGTGAAGCATTTGTCTAAATCCACAACAGTCCTAGTCATCTTACTGCTTCATTGTATGGATTGCATGCCTCGCCGGGCATGCTGGATACTCTCAGAGTACTGGGGACTGGCAAAGTGCTGTAATCCCTACTGATTGAGATCTATAGCTGTCAGCGCGGACCACAAGATGTCGTTGACTGGAAGTTCTGTGTCGAACCTGAAGTGTAGCCGGTTTGGCGTGCCAAACAGCAATTCTTTGCTCAAACTATGTCGATGTTGCTCGCCGTTGCTCTGTGGGAATGAAAGAAGAAACCTTAGGAAAGCCCCTTCGGCTGAGGTCCTTTCTCAAAGGATAACTTGAGACTTACCCTATCAGAGTTCTTTGGTCCTCTCCACCTTACAAGAACATGCAGATGTTCGGAGACACGCGTATGAATAAGTACCTTTTCGTACCTGCTGGAGTGAGGAGGCTTGTCAGTTTGTCTGCCGGCGTTCAACCAGATGGCACGAGTAAAGCGGACGATCACCTCGACTGGTCGTACAAGTGCGCCAAGTCGGTCATCAGGAAGCTGCGCGACTCTCGCCACTCGGCCAAGGACCTGGAGAACGTCCTGAAGCTGGGAGCGGCTCAGGAAACGGAGTGCATCTGCGTCGCTCGCTCCCTGGATGGCCGCGTGCAGGTCGGAGATGAGAAGGGACCGCCTCACTTCATGTACTGTCGTTTGTTTCGCTGGCCCGATCTGAAAACCTACCACGAGCTGCGAGCGCTAAACTGCTGTCCAAATGCGTTCCACTTAAAGAAGGAGCACATCTGTATCAATCCCTACCACTACACTCTGGTGACACCCACAGGTACTAGCTGCGTACGGTAACTGTCTTAGTAAGTGTGCAGCGTAATATCCAAGAGGTCCTTGCGCATATCATTCCTAAGATACTGCAGGGACGTCGGAAGGTATTCTAGTCAGGGGCGTCGGACACGGTACGGTCACTACGGTATTGACCGTACCACTTGTTGCCCCAGTTGCTCCGTGAATCAATAAAATACACTGATTTGGGCTCTACAAATTTTTCGGCTCATCAACCCCTCCCCCTCGAGTAAATTGTACTTCAGATGGCTGAGCGCACCACACTAATATACCTTCCGACGCCCCTGCTAGTGTGGTACGGTCAGCCATCTGAAGTACAATTTACTGGTGGGGGAGTGGTGGCTGAGCGGAAAATTTTGGAAATTTAGATCCCAGATCAGTGCATTTATTGATTCACGGGGGGTACTTAGGGCAAAAAGTGGTACGGTCAATACTGTAGTGGCCTTACCGTGTCCGATGCCCCTGTAGTGTCCTGGCTTAACTAATTCCACCCCATGCTCCATATGGTGAAAAAGGAGAAGAACAAAATTAATGTTACGAGTTATGACTAACTGTAACTTGTCCTTCTCCTTTTTCACCATAATTTCATTGGCTCACCATCCGAGTTCATACTCCATATTTTCATATTTTCTCTATTTCTTCTGCTCTAGTGCAGTGCCGGCATTGATGGTAATGAAATCGTTTATTTGTTGTGTATCTCCCTGCCTGGTTTTGCAGCATTACCTCCCGTGATCATCTCACGCAATGCCCAGGGCGATGTCGACTCTAGGCAGCTGGCTGAGTTCAACTCGACCGCGGCCATGGGCCTGGCCATGGACGAGACTGAAATCCCGGAGAACCAGTCGACGGACTACTCTGGCGATATGGCCGGTTCTTGCTTCAGCCCAACGGGCTCGGCAGTTACCAGTGGGTACGCTACGTCTATTCCCCCAGGTGAGGAGATAACTTTCGGCATGGATGTTTGTGTGTGGTTGGGGGGGGGGGGGGGGCATGTGGGTGTGTATGTATGAGGAAGATTGCACTCTTGTATGAGCACATGCTCACGCATGTGGGACCGCGTCGGCAGGTGATATGCAGTACAAGCATGTTAAGACATTCAGACATCCAAGTCAGTTCTACAGATAACCTAACACCGTGCCTTATTTGTGCTCCTTGCAGAGACACCGCCACCAGGGTACCACCCGGATGAAGATCTGAAATCACCTATCAGTGTAACGGGCAGCACTGCCAGTGTCTACGCAGGCAGCGCAGGTCCAGGTATGATGTATTGTCTAGTATGTTTTGGTGGATACATTGTACTTGCTCCTTCTGCAGCCATTCCATTCATAAATCTGAGTCAACAATACAGGTAAATGCTGCAAAACATTGCCAGTCATACAGCACATACGGGTGTGCCAGCATTACCTAAGATCAACCATAGGCTCTCTAATGATCAGCATGCTCAACTGCTGTTGTCATTGCTGGATGGCTTCAAGGCCAACCTGGACCAACCTGCCCATCTTTCGGCCGCATAAGCATCTATTCCCACCAAACCCATACAGGCTCTGCCATGTCAATCCGCAGCCGTCCTTACCGGCTCACTCCAACCCATCACAGCCTCATCCAGACGCGACGCAATCTGTCTGCGACGACGGTGTGCAATGCCACCTCACGAAATACCACTCACAAACCTTTGTACAACTTTGCTGCAGAAAAGGTCAAAACCGTACGCCGCTTAGCTTGTCGCATCGCGAAAGTTGAACCAAGCTCAACTTCCCGCTTTACACAGCTGCGCTAGTGGATGGTCAGCCCCGATTCAATACTAGAAAATGTTTGTTCTGTCAACCCTCAACTTCTGTGTTCCAGTCGTATCTTCGTCCTCCCTGCAGTTTATTTATCTTTCTCGGTATTTGTTTGAGCTGGGTTTGTGTTTCTTTTTGTATTTAAAAAAAATGTTTTGCATTCAGGATCTCCTTTTGGAAGTGGCGGCAGTGTGGCGTCTTTTCCTCAGGGAGGTGAGTGTTCATTTCTCTCAGTAGCAATGTGAGCACACCCAAGCGAATGAATATTTGTTTCTTTTGGTGTACTTGTCATTTTTCCTTGTCGACCGGCTGGTGCAGATTATTGCTTCATAGGGAAACCTGTGTTTGATGATCACCTCTGGGGGAGGGGGGGGGGGGGGGTACACAGAAATCATGTTCTTATAGACGGATGGATTCTATATTCAGGTCTGGATGGAAGTGTAGGCACCAGTTCGGTAACAGGACATGAGATACCCATGTGTAGGAACGCTCGGTCCGCCGAGTGACTTGTCTGCACAGAAAGCACCAGTCCCCGCTCAATACACGGTGTTTCCGAGGATTCAGACCTCATCACCCACGTACGGAGCAACACCCAAATTTCTCAATGATATTGGGACATGTAACTCAGTGCTTTGTCTCAGAGTGATTTAGCCGCAGAGCAAAGCAATCGCCAGTCAGTTGACAAGCCACCTTTTCTTTATACGTTGGAGACACCGAAAAGCTAGGTTGCTGCCAATTCTGGTCAAATAGACTGTAGAGACGAATCAGCAGTGTGATATTATACTATTGAAGGTGGTATTTAGTGATTCTACAGTTCTGCCCGGAGAAATCCTAACTCCTGAATAAAGTAGCGCCACACTCGCGTGCACAGAGTGGCTTGTGTGGAGCTGAGGCCGCGTAGCCCCCACCCACCTCGGTGCGATTATTTTCATGTGGTTGGATTTCTGTGGCCAGGACTTCAGTACTTCCACAACCGACTTACTACTTGTCCAGTAGTATAATAATTCTGCAAGTGTCGCTTGTTTGGATTGTCCCATGCTTGTTTGCGCAGGCCCCAGATCTGCTGCTAGCTCAACGGATGGCTTCAGATCCAGTCCTTTGCCGTATACCCCAAGAGCAGTAGGTGAGACATTGGCTAGCATCTTAAAACGCAGGCATGTTATTGCTGATTGCAGTGTTTCAAATATTCATGGGTTGAGGGAATGGAAAAGGGAAACGTCTGAAGAAAAATTGCAGTTCCCGCTCCTCGATAGCCAACAACTGCTCCTTCTGTAGAATGAGCTGCGGGGATTGAACGCACGGTAGACCTTGCCATGAGTGTTATGCTTGATTTGCAAGTTCGCCTGCAAACCATCCAGTATAACTAGGGATGAATTGTACGCCCTTGAAGGTCACGTATTATAGCCGAGTTGAAAGAATAAGGATAACCTGGGAAGGAATGAAAGAGAGAAGTACATTCCTTCCAACCATCCTGATTTGGCCGGGACCATCCCGATATCGAGGGTGGTAATAGACACCCAAATGCATTAGTCTAGTGCCTCACGGCTACATTTCTATACATATTCATGCCTAGTCATGTCATTGTCCCGATCCTAGGTTTGTAAATGTTGGCAGGCTTGGAAGTAATGACTACTAGTACACATTAATTTGAGAGGACTTATATAATGTATTTTCAGGTATCACGATCGATCGGGTATCAATTCTGCCCTGCACCAGGACATCCCTGTGGCATGGTTTCTGTTATTAGTCAACTTCGCTAATAACGACTGCGGATATAACGACAATTCGCGAATAACGACATAATTTTCATGCCCAGAGCAAAGTCCCATCCAACTGTGACACATATAATGAGACTTCGCGTATAGCGACACTTCGCGAATAAGGACACTTTTCTGGTGCCCCGCCGAGTGTCGTTTTAAGCGAAGTTGACTGTATTTCTGTTCAACCTCGATGAAGCGCGAGCCGGAATATCGTTGCTATAACCGACAACTCGATTGTTAACAAATATTGTTAATTGACAACCGATTTTCATGGAGTGTTCACCCCTACTTACCACATTATTCGTATATGCATGTATTGGGTTGGCAAATCCTCTGTCCAGACTCTGACGAAACCACTAGTATCCACTACCAAGATTCGCCGCACTGGTGCGAGATCCGCTATTACGAGATGGCCCAGAGAGTTGGACACATCTTTGCCGTAAGTCCATCACTTCTGTGATCTTTGACTATACACGTAGCTTAGCTGGGTAAAATCTCCTGAAATTCATCTAAAGTTCGTATTAAACACAGGATCCTTTGTTAGGTTATGCCCGTGGCGAAGGCCATGAAAGCACACCTTTTGTACACGTATCATCTTGGGCAACTTGCCACCTCTTCTTCAACTGATATGGAACATTAGTATGAGGTGCGTGAACCTAGTTGTCCCCTGTTTAGTTTCTCTGAAGCACAATTCATTTGTAGGTGAGTACAGATGCAGGGGGAAAGAGATTACTCTCTGTAGAATAACTTTTCATGCACTAAGTAAGTGATCATTGGACTTAGATTCTGTCCATGCTACCTTCTGTACTTGTGTATGCCTTTATGCACTCTGGTGCATTCAGCACACTTTCAAGATGCCCTGACTGCCCCTGATTGTGCCTCAATTGGCTGCCAAAAAGGTTCACGTTTTGTTCATGCAAGGGCGTTTCGATTAGCATATACCCCCTTACCCCCCCCCCTCCCCTCTATTCAAAAGTCTTTTTGCCCATTAAACCCATGCTGATGTTCCTTAATCATTGCTGCCAGCCTAGCACGTTCGTAGTTGGTAACTTGTGCTTGCATGTTCTTCAACAGACCGTTCTTCAGGTCCCGCTATTACTGTATAATCACTGCAACGTGTCTGTAGCTGGCGCATACAGTCGTGACCGAAGAAATCCGACCCGCGATTCCAAAGTAGCGCCGCTTTTCCACTTCAATGACATCATGCACGTTCCAAAAACTGATCCGAGGGCCGCAGGAGCCGCACAAGCCTTGGCACTGCTTTCGGCACGTGGGTTGGATTTCTTTGACCACGACTGTAGATATACCACCTGTAGAGCTCTAAATCAGATCAATGTATTCATTTCCTTTCAGGCAACGATACCGTCCATCACCGTGAACGGTTTCACGCAAGACACAGCGAAAGACATGTTCACCCTCGGCCTGTGCACGAACCCAAATCGCACCACTGACGCGGAAAACGTACGACGGCACATCAAGCGTGGCGTACGCCTCACCTACATCGGCGGAGAAGTGTTTGCAGAATGCATTTCCGACAGTCCCATCTTCATCCAGTCGGCGTCATCCAATGCCCGCTACAAGTGGAACAAGACAACTGTCTGCAAAGTGCCGCCAGGCTGTCATCTGAAAATCTTCAACAATGAAGAGTTTGCAGCAGCGCTGCGTGATGCTGTATCCAAGGTAATTCACAAGATATGCTTACTTGAGCCGTGTAAGATTAGCCAAAATAGACCCATAGGTCAATTGTTCAAAAATGATTTTTCATTGCAAATTGTCTGTGTGTTGTACTCATGTACTCAAAGTTTCTAGCGGATTGGACAAGGGCATTAAAATGGGTAAAATGGATCGGAAGGATACACACTGAAGGTGAAATTAGGTGCACAATATCCAGAAATTCACTTCCGTAAGGATATTGATCCCTCTGCTTCTTGAGTTTCATGTGATTGTCCACGTCCCAAGGCGTTGTCTGAATGATTTCTCATTCAGATAGTTCTCCGCTGCATGCAGAGTCCTGCACTCCTAAAAATAATAAATTGACTTCATTCCACAGACCATCGAGCACGGGGTAACACAACTACATGATTTAGTGCAAGCATACTGGCCAGCACAGCTATCAGCATTCCTTCTGAGATCACTTGTAAGTTGTAACACAAGTAGTACACTTTTCTTGTTGCTCAAAGTTTCTCTGCTGTCCATCTTTTTGTGTGTTTGTCCATTTGTCTGGCTCTCTGTCTGTCTGTCTGTCTCTGTCTGTCTCTGTCTCTCTCTGTCTCTCTGTCTGTCTGTCTGTCTCTCTCTCTCTCTCTCTCTCTCTCTCTCTCTCTCTCTCTCTCTCTCTCTCTCTCTCTCTCTCTCTCTCTCTCTCTCTCTCTCTCTCTCTCTCTTTCTCTCTCTCTGTCTCTCTCTATCTCTCTCTCTTTCTCTCTCTCTTTCTCTCTCTCTTCTCTCTCTCTCTTCTCTCTCTTCTCTCTTTCTCTCTCTGTCTCTCTCTCTCTCTCTCTCTCTCTCTCTCTCTCTCTCTCTCTCTCTCTCTCTCTCTCTCTCTCTCTCTCTCTCTCTCTCTCTCTCTCTCTCTCTCTCTCTCTCTCTCTCTCTCTCTCTCTCTCTCTCTCTCTCTCTCTCTCTCTCTCTCTCTCTCTCTCTCTCTCTCTCTCTCTCTCTCTCTCTCTCTCTCTCTCTCTCTCTCTCTCCCACCCTCACTTCTCCACACAGGGTGTACAATCAGTACATGAACTGCTGAGGCTGGTAAATATTCGCATCAGCTTCATCAAAGGCTGGGGTGTGGTTTACTCTCGCAAAAAGGCCACCCAGTGTCCATGTTGGATAGAGATTCAGCTGACTGGTCCACTGCAGTGGCTGGACAAGGTCATGGTCAAGATGAGCGCCTTGCCACCGGGTAGTTCCAGAACCTGAGTTCAGAAGCAGACTTATCAGCCCGCACGCATGTACACACACACACACACACACACATACACACACACACACACACACACACACACACACACAACCGTTCTATCGAAAATATGAAGTCATGTTGCGTTCCGCTCTCCATCGCTGTCTAGCTGTAGTATCCTGATGTTGGCTAGCAGGACTTGAGAGATGTTTAGACCATTTTGTTCAGCTCTACGCCCCCCCCCCCCCCCCCCCCCCGCAACCCTACCCCTACTATACCTGCCCATGGTACCATCATATCGGCTTGCTGCTGTACCAGTGCCGGGTCAGTCACTAAGACATTGTGGAAGACTGATGTAAACTAATCCTATTACCACTACTTACTCAATACCTTTTTAGCGTGCTTTCATTGCATGTGCGTGGCGTGGCCATGAAGCTGCAAGCACGTCCCTAGGGTGATCCATGTGCTTTGCGTAACGATTTCTCATTATTTGAAGCTAGCAGCAAGCTACGCATTTGCTCCTCTCAGGCGCTTTATCAGGCTCACTAGGTAGGTAGATGCTCTTGTTTTGGGCGTCGCGCCGCTGCACTTGAAAATGAGTCGGCGTAATGCTCCATTCAGTCCACCCCCCCCCCCCTCCCACACACACACACACACACACTCCCAATTCCAGCCATTTGCCAAGTAGGCAGTTCAGCATATCCATTTCCGCCTGTCACCCTCATTCAGAAGTGGCAAATCTTCGTGCCGGGTTGCAACTTGTGTGTGTGCACTGTACTCAAGCGTGTTTCTTTCCCCGCGTAAACTTCACTTGTCAAATTCCCAAGCATAAGCCGTTTGCGCGACATAATAATTATTATCCCATTTTCCTTAGGTTACTGCAACTGCCAGCTCCACCAGCTATATTAATTTCGCCATGGCTCAAGTGCCAATTCCCTATTTCTGTTAATACTGTGTGTATGTGCTCCTATTCCAGTTTGTGTGTTCGTGGTGTTCTTCATTCTACGCTATCTTCAGCAAAGAAAAAGTGTCCTCCAGTGCGTCTGGTTTCGATTGTGTCTACTGGGACTGAGAGCGGGTTTCCAGCCGTGCTGCTGCCCACCGTCCACTGGGAACTTTTGGCCGGGCACATGGGCACACGGATGCGGCTAGTGGGCTTCTTGGCACTTGTCTGCTGGATTCTCCGGGTGTTAGCAGGCGTCGTAAGTCCCCACCCCCTGTGGAATGGACTCAGACGATAATAATTATTATTAATTATTTACTCCTTAAAAAAACTACTTTACTGGGATTGAACTACAAAACGGCACCTTCGTACAGATGCTGCGGGCAGCACCCCGACTACAAAAATCTAAAGAAAACCTCTCTCTAGATCTCTATCTATCTGTCTCGTGCGCACGTGTGCGTGCGAGCGAGCATGCATTAGAAAGTTCTAAGTGTTAGAAATAAAGTAAGTAAGGTGTAGAACGTCAGTACCGTTAGTCACATGTCGTGCAGTGACATGATGTCAGCATATCTACTTCTGGCGATGAACTTTTTATACCAAGGAGCTACAAATTACACTTTAATGTCCACTATTACTAACACCACCAGTTTCTTTACAATCGGCTCATGCGATAACATTGCACGACACTGACCGACGGTACTGACGTTCTACACCTACTTTTAGTTCTAAAACTTAGAACTTTCCAAGCTGGAAAGCTGTTGGAGTGCGCATCCAAGATGTGCTAGAGCTGATTGCCAGTTAGGTAACTTAGGTGTAGAACGTCAGTACCGTTTGTCAGTCAGTGTCGGGCAATGTTATCGCATGAGCTAATCGTCAAACAACTGGCGGTGTTAGTGGACAGTATAGTGCAACTTGTAGCTCCTTTGTCCTCCTTTCTTCTTATAAATAATTAATCCTTGGCTCTCCACCCGAGCCTAACGTTTACATCGGTTTGCATAGCACTTCTCACAACTTCACTGTACATTGCGAGCATAAAAAACCTGCGCAGTGCAATGGTGTAAGACAAATTTCAGAAATGTATTCTGGAAACACTGGTATTGTAATAGGCTCTCATCGACCGGGCACTGATATGTATTTCGGGTGTGGCCTAAAACAAATTCTCGAAGCCTCATTCAAAAGAAAGATGAAAAGTATAAGAAAAAATAGGACCAGATTGTTACGTCGCAAGCGTATCCCAAATTCGGAAGAAATGTGCACAGAAAACCCAAATATCAACTGGATTTATCCTGTTTTAGTTTTTTAAATATAATAAATATGATGATGCTATGAAGAAAAAACACAACATGAATGCTGCAGTAGAGCCCATGTACTTTGAAGAAAACAGAATGACGTCACAAGTATCACACAGGCCTCTCACAGTAGATCCAAGTGCGATGATGTCATCAGAATCACACAAGGCTACTACATGTGCATGCGTTGAAAACATGATGACATCATCAGCACATCAGCATGATCACACGGCGATGCAGAAGATCAGCTGAAACCAGCCCACTCGGCCGGTGAGCAAGTCCTCGCCAAAACACCAACCTGTACAGAGAGCACAGCACATGCAGAACACAGATACCAGTGTAGGCGCAGAGTGCTATATACAGGGAAAGTCCCCTAATCCCGGCAGATCGAGACTTAGCATTGCCAGTAACTAAGAATTGGCCGTAACTCAGGCAATCGCTCGCACCGGTGATTATGTGTGTAGGCGTTTGTTCGGTTTACAGTCAACTTCGCTAATAACGACTGCGGATATAACGCCAATTCGCGAATAACGACAGAATTTTCATGCCCAGAGCAAAGTCCCATCCAACTGTGACACATGTAATGAGACTTCGGGTATAACGACACTTCGCGAATAAGGACACTTTTCTGATGCCCAGCCGAGTGTCGTTATCAGAGAAGTTGACTGTATTGAAATTTTAGGTATGAAATAGATACACCGAAAGTACCAAAAGTACACCAAACCTTTGTGGAATTATTTGAAATTACAGTACTCTGGAAAATAAGGCACCTAGTGTGAAAAATGAAAATTTGACTTTACCCCCCTCCACACACACACACACACACTCTACGGGCAGGCTTAGCTGTGGTTGGCTATAAAAACCCTGCAATCGCCACACAAAGTGGTCATTGGCTTCCCCAGCCATGTATGTATTGCTTGGAATAAACTTTAAAAAAACCCTAAAGGCTTCAGAATACCAGAAGACACAATTCGGAGGCATGCATGGCTACTGCTAGTACGATCCGCACTGGGGGATCAAGCAGGTTGTCCACTTGAACAATGTGCAATCGCCGCGGCGGCCGGCAGACTTACCGTCTTGCGCTTTTCGCCGTGCCAGTACCGTATTTCCCAGGGTGAGAGTGAGCTCATCCGTCTCGCTGGCAATGTGCTCCGTCGTCACCTCATAGTGAGTGAGCTCAGCGTCCTCGTAGATGGACTCCACTGCATGGCCCGCCTTCGACGCCTCGTTGTCTATTGCCGTCAGCCATCTCTCGCGATCGGTGCTGCACAGTACGTGCACATGATTGGCAGACAGGGAAGAAATAGACCGTGGCAGAGAGAAAGAAAGAGACAGAGAGACAATGCTGGAAAAGCTCAATGTCATAATTATTATCAGCCTCCCACCCCCCCCCCCCCCCAACCCTCCTCTCTTTCTCTCCCTCTCTCAATCTTAAGTAGCCTTTCGACTTATTTTCTAACGATTCCACAAATTCCATTGTACCTATTTACACATTACTCACATATGGTTTCTTTGTTGCCATTAAAAAAATTAAAAAAATTTCACGGTTCGCGTGAGACTCGGCTGGAAGCCGAGTTTTCCGCATCCGCCGTGGGAACGCCACCACCCTCTAGGATCAAAGACGCAGATAACCCCATAAACTCTCTCAATAACTGAAGCAGCAAATTTTCATAAATAGCCAGATTTCTATTCACCCTGACGACAGGTGGCCGGAAATTTAGTAAATCAAGTATTGAGAGGCAGAGAGTTGTTCGCAGCCAAGAGACCATACGTCAGTAAGAGACCATACGTCAGTAAGAGACCATACGTCAGTAAGCATTCAGACCAGATATAGCTCTACCAGTTCTATGGTAAGACTGGCAAGACAACTGGCAAGACAACTGGCCGACAACGCCAGCTGTCGGCAAGAGATGAGCTTCTGCTTGTGCTTATGCGTGTCAGGTTGGGAATGTACCCGGAAGACTTGGCATATCGCTTCAAGCTGCGTGATTGGCCCAACGCTGTTCTCTACCTTGGTGCACTTTCTATATAGGATTGTTGGAATCAAGGCAATTGCATTACTTTGTCTGTGCAATGATTTACTACTGTCTGGCACACTTCTCTCAAGATTGGTCTCTACATTGGGGCAACTTCTATCCAGAAACACAACACATAAAGTGTACATGACACTTTACGTGGCCGTGTAGAAATGGTGGAAACGAAGAAATAATCCACATTATATTCTTCTGCCAATTCACAAGAACCTGGTGGTAAGATGTCCGTGAACAGGCAGCCATCTGATGAGGCAGCCCACTGCATCATGCAGGAGCACAAGGAGCCCACTGCACCGTCACCGCAGGTTCGGGTCCTTCTAGCAGCCGAACTCAACAGAGCTCCAGTTAGGACCTGGGTGCGTCAAGCTCACCTATACATCCCAACGATGCGTGACAACGATTCGTCCCTGCTCCTCGACGTTATTGCGCAGAGGCTCTGCGAGAGCTGGAGTCCCCTGTACACACCAACTAATTACTGTTCAAGACTTCTTCTTCTTTCCATGAATTCGTATATTCGCATGATTGCTGGAAATACCGGAGCTTGGTACACTCATGTAACTTCACAAGACTGTGTTGTTGCTGTCGGAACCAAATTCCCTGACAATCACATCTTGAGTCAGGTCACGGAAATTCGTGCACATAGCTTCATTTTCCATCAGCGCTGCATCCAAACATTCACTGGTCCTACACAAACAATGCCGTCTACGCAATACATGAGAATTCTGGTGATCGCGAACACTCCGAGCCAACCGAAAAATAACTTCAGACTGTCGACTATTAACCCCTTTAGCGCGAGCGTCGTACTAGTACGACGCACATGAGTTGCATGCCCCACGGCCGTCGTACTAGTACGACGCGCGCTGTACACTGTACAGTGAACCTGCATCTCATAGTCGTGGGGTCCGTGTTGAGTCCATAGTGACTTGTTCAAACTATCGTAACTCACTCAATACTTGGTCGATTCTCACAATCGAAACATGTATCTGGAAGAGAAAACTCTCAGCTGGCGATAGAAACAATCGCCGAAATGATACGACTACCGGTTGTTGAGATATGCGACTCGACACGGCAAATTTCAACTCGATTTTTTTGCGCAGGCTGCAGAACGCGTATTTTCAATCATGGATCATTTGTGCGCTACCCGCTGCCATGGAAACAAGATTCAAATGATGGTAGTCGATCCCGTGAGTCCTCACAAAAAATTTGAGCTCGATACGAGCAAGGAGACCGAAATGGCAGCTGAATATTTGAGCTTGGTTAGTCTTGGCCGTGCTCAAGTCTGTCGAGCGCTCGGATGAAGTTTGCCAGACTGTAGCACGGGGTTTTGGTTTCGCTCCGAGCTGAGTTTGATACCAGTTTGTCCCTCTTCTCAAGACCTTTCCAGGAAGCTCAAGATCATGGAATTCGTCCAAGGGAAGGTAAAGTTATCGACCCTTGAGCAGCCAGTACTTTCATGGGAAAATGCGACCTTTACAGGTGTTGACGTGGGGCGCGTTCAGGTAGCGTCGTGCTAAAGAGGTTAAACTTTCTACGAAGCAACACCAACCAAAAGCACAACTGCAGGTACTGCATTTGCCCCCCCCCCCGCCCCCTGCTCAGCACGTTTCCTCCCAGCCAGTGCAGGCACGTGACCGGAGTTTGGCAACTTGTCTATGGGAAAGGGAGAAAGCTGTAAGCCAGCCACTCTTCACCTGCTGTCATTAGTCGCTGATGCAGTGCATGGTGCAGGGTACCTGCAGCTGGCAGTGCATTCCACATGAACAGGTGTAAGTGCTAGAGAACAGACTATACACCACACTGACCCTGCCAATCCACTTTCCCACTAATTACATGTCTCAAGCATTCAATGATGCCTGAACCCAGCATTGACCTCCAGTGCTGGATTATCACGTGTGAAGAGCCAGCTTCCTGCCCTACTTCAGCCTGCCACACTGCATGCATGGGTACTTCTAATGGCAGCCACTTGTAATCACTCCACCCTTCACCAGTGCACTGCAAACAGCTTAGTCATGAACCGAACTGTAGGTTATCAACTAGGGCATGAAAGGTCTGGTAAACCTACCAACATCATACTTCTACTTGCCAACCCAGCCAAAGCAAATCCCTTTGTCACACATCCAGTTTCAACCGGGCCTAAATTTTCTCTCATTTCCCTTATTTTCCTGGTTTCTGCCAATTTCGGCCATTTTCTCTGTTTTTCCGCAATTTTTTGGCAATTTGTATCTTTCTTTTTTTCTTCATTTCTAACACATTTTTAATTGGGGGACCAAAACCTGAGTTATTTTATTGTAAGATCGTTGGTGAAGTGGCCTTCCCAGAGGTAGCCCACCACAAGCTGCCAAGCAGCCTAGCTCACTGATCATTCTGTACACACCTGTCAATTCTGTTGACAGGTTCTTGTCACACGTTAAGCCTGTGTTTGGGCTAGGCCATAGCATAGGGGTGCGATACTAGGATAACCTTATAGAGGCCTCTCTACATGACAATTACTACTATACGAGTGAATGGAAGACGCTGCAAATAAATCAGCCACCGCTATGAACACATACACACATGCCACTACGTTCGCATCTCCAGACGCACACATACATGCACATACATGCACACACATACACACACACACCCACACGCGAGAGCGCGCACACACAAAGAGTTCGCAACACTCACAAGCTGAAGGCTTCCAGGATGTACTCCTTTCGTTCACCGTCGGCATCCAACATCAACTTGAACGCCAACTCTGTGTCCAGGGCTGCTTCCTTACGCACATTGCTGCGAAGCTGAACAAAACAAAAAAGTGGAACTCACTTAGTAAGAAGTTGTACAGAAAGATTTCAATCAAATAATAATAATAATAATAATACAGCACGCATATAGCTCAGATGAAAAATCAAATGAGGGTCATGCATCTGTCGACAACGTCGACGTCGCGTTCAATCAAATAGAAAAAATGTAATAGATGACTTGAGCCAACAAAGTACAATATCGTTTTTCAGCTCAAGTTAGCTTAACAGTTTCAATCTGAACAAACCTTTCAAAGGAAAACAAACTCTTCCGAAGTGAGGAATCGGAAGCTCATACACACATTCCAGCGGTGCTACACAAACATATGCACACACACATACGTACACACATGCACAAACGCACAAATGCTCGCCTGCAGTGTCAAAATGCATCTCGTGGAACACCCACCCTGGATAGGCCGCCCTTCAGCGTTTTCTCCTGGTCAGCGACCGGAAAGTCAAGCATCTCTTTCTCGTCGGTCTCCACGTGAACTTGCCGCCTCTCGCACCAACTTTGGACTTTGAGCTGGCTCTTGCTGCTTCCGAGATTTTTCAGAGTACTAGAGAATTGGACAACAGCAGCAGTTTGACAGAGATAGTGAATACACAAGTAACATAAAGAAATCTGCCAGGTGGTATTTGTGGGGTGTTTATCATCATGGGTCACGGCAGCATCCCTATGTCTGTGCACTTTACAGCCAAGTTACATTAGACACCCTTAGCAAAAAACGTTATGTTGTAACGGTATTATCGTAAGGGGGAAAATACCGTGATTTGGGTTCGACCTTTAGCAAGATGCACGCTATTTTTAGTACGCTGTTGCCACTGATTTCGCGCGGTACAACCATTTTTGTTACCATCCTCGCGATACAAGGTGAAATGCGTACGGACTATGCAATATTTGGCCAAAACACGTACCGTTGGTCACAACGATAAATCAGCCCCCATAACGTTTATACGCTGCAGCTTCAACGCTATTTGGATGATCAAGGTACGAGTACCGTAAAAAATAGCGTTACCGTTGTTTGCTAAGGGTGTCTATTATAGGACATTGACGGAGACAAGGTCTATATTGGATAAATAGGCCGAGTGAAAGACCAATGTCCGCTGAGGCGATTGTTGACTCTTTACGAGGCCTTTGCGTTGAAGACGAGGTCAATGTCGTATTTCATCGTGACCACTTTGACAGAACCCAAAAGTCAAGTCTTGTCTTTTAGCAGCTGTTTTAGACCTGTGACACTGGTACAATAGTATACACAGAATGTTGCATAATCTCGGGTACAAATCTGTAGTATTCACAGCTTAGTGCATGTTCCTGATTTCTTCTCCAGTGTATGTTTTATTGCATTTTTAAACCATTGTGTGAATTTTTGCCCGTAAAAGAGGCCCGAAAAAAAACACATCTTAGTGGCTGGGTAGTATACGGGGTTGCTGTACATTTCCACTGTTGCAGGTTCAAGACTGCTTGTTCTATTCTTCTGTCCTACTTCTTACAAATTCTTTATGAGGCGGAGAGACATTTTAAAGTCCCCCAAACAAAGTTTACAATACTGAATTGGTCAATGCAGCAAACAGTCAATATGAACAACCAATGTTATCGTCATAATATTATGTGAATTGTACCAGCAGGATCAGTCAAGGATCGCGAGAATTAGAGCAGGCGATTTCTTTTACAAGAGCCACAAACCATGATAAAGAGCTATATACCTCATGATCCCCTTGGGCTTGGCAAGCATGATCAGGTCGTTGAACACAAGAAGGTGAGCGTCCTGACGATGAGGTGCAGCCGGATTGGACACATCATAGTGTCGGACGGGAGCAGACCGGATTAGCCGTCTGGCCTGCGACACCAGGGCAATATGCTGACAAAGATGCACAGACAACAGGACGGAATACACAGGGAATGTTAAAGTGGGTTTCTTCAAACGCTGAGCCCATGCTTGCTGTCAAATGAACGGACATGAAAAAGACACAATTCGCTGTTTTCAAACATATTTTTAAACATACACTATAGCGACGAGAGTTCCCAGATTGCCTAGAGTGCTCAACACCACAGGTTGGAGCATTATGCCTTTGTGGTATTTTTAAACATATCATTCGTTCAAGCACTAGTAAAGTGGATTGTTGGGAACATTCAAGCCAGCGGCTGTTTCTCGCAGAATAGACACTTGATAGCTCCAAACTACAATCAAAGGATAACCAATGAGGCAATGGAACATTCATATCCGCTAGCCTGCAAGGCAGCACCACCCTCTGCTCAGCAGGGAGCAGGAGAAAAGAATCAAAGTCCAAGGTTTACTTTGTACGAAGAATGAAAATATATACCGCAGAACGAAGAAGGAAGGGCGCATTACCTTGACCTTGGCAAAGTCCAGTTGATGTTCAGTCCGTACCAGCTGTTCAGTGCGGTTCACAGTCTGCGCTGCTTCATCACACCACCTAGCGACCTGTTTGTGAACAAGCAAGGTTGGATCCACGCATACGCATACACACAAACACAGGCACACCCACACACACACACGTACACGCACGCACACACATACACGCATACACACAAACAGAAGGCCTGAGATGTTAAACTATCTGACTGGGATTTTAGATGCCGGCACGATCCATGGATACTGCAGATTCAAGCTTCTGAGATAATTACAGCTACAATGTTAGACTGCCAGAAAGGGGTATGCAGAATTGTGGTATGCCTGACAATAGTGCTGAGTCACCAGGTTTACATCCAGAGGAGCAGGCGGGGCATGAATGAATGTGGATGCGTGGGAAATGGGGGCTTGCACGGTAGTTAGGTGATTAGTGGGGGGGGGGGGGGGGGGCGTTGTTGCGGAAGTCGTAAGCCAAGCATACCAGCCAAAACACGATTACGAGATAGGCATAGTGTAGCCCATCTGGTGTGGATTGTTCACTCTTGCTCCAGAATGCATGATGAGAGAGAGAGAGAAAGAGAGAGAGAGAGAGAGAGAGAGAAAAGGAAAGAGAGAGAGAGAGATACCATCAGTTTATCACTAGGCCCATGATCAAACGAGCTGTTAGACGAGGGCCGTACAGTTGCGCTCATTCATTACGACTTCAAATTCCTTCATTGGTTGATTCTGTACCTTCTTAGCGGAGTCGGCAGTTTTGAACTCCACAGTGGTCGCCTGGGGAGGTAGGTTTTCAGTCAGCACCTACAGGAAAGGAAGGCAATTGAGCAATGGTCATTACACAATTAGCTCAAAGAATGCTAAAATGGGAAGAGGATATACAGGAATAGCTGTTTGTGCTCCACATATCTGATGGTCAATATGTCATTTTTGAAACTAACTACACAATATGTGAAGGGTTTCGGCACGTTTTCGTTGAAACCGACATTGATGGGATATGATACTTTGATCGATATCAATTTATAAAAGACGTTTGCTTCTTCTTGCCAGGCTGTGTACAAGACAGTAAACAATAAATACTTCAAAAGAAGAATATAGAGTTGTTTCATATCCGCGTCATGTGACTAAACTTGTGTTGACAGTGATCATGGCATGTGGACAGTGGGACCAACATGGCCAATGTCATGTGACCCACATATGCATGGGTTGTGACTCGAGTTGGAACCAATACGGTTTTCCTATGGGGTCAAGTGATAGATAGATGTGAAACCACTCTAGATGAACGAACATGACCAACCAATACCTGACAGTATATTAAATCTGTGTTGAACTACTTACTGTCTGCCTCTGTTACCCTGGAGAAATGCACGGAATTATGTGGTAAACAAAAAAGTGATCAATGTGCCTGGCACAATATAGAAGGGAGTCAATGATGCCAGCTCCAACAAAAACAGTCGTGTAGGACATACCAACCACAGGAGCATACCTGCAAGTACTTTGGCAAGTAGATGATGTAGGAGATCGGGACGGACAGGAATGAGGCTAGCTTGTTTCCCGACAGGGACCTGTCATTCTCCACAATGGCCAATGATCGGCTGAAATGCGAGTTGTCCTTGCTGCAGATAAGTAGAACAAGAAGATCAGAGACACATTATATTGCCCAAATCACCTATCCAGCAGGATCCAGTGTTCCTTATGTACAGGAATACATCAGGATACAGTCCCCTGGGCAGAGCATGCTATGGGATATAACGTAATGAGGATCATGTCCCTAAAGCTATACATCTTTCTTATCTGGGCCTCAAAGTTACAGGCACTTTCCCGTCAGAATATACATGACTTCAGAATTTAGGACATTTCAGAGTTATGGGCAGTGCACAGTTCCGGATAGGAGAGATAACAATTAAATGGCCTATAAAGTACTTCGGCTAGTGTAGAAAAAAACAAGGCCAAACAGCTCACATTTTCTTTTCATTGACTTCGGATTTAGTTGCATTTTCCATTATTGATTTACGATGGTATATTTGCCCGTACAAGAGGGTTACTTTCGACTGCATTCTAAGAAAGTTACACTGTAGAACTCAATCTAATCTCGACATTAGTTGTTGCCAGCTAGAGATGATACCAGCAGTTAAGGTGACGCTCCTGTGAGCCAGAGCATTGAGTGAACGCATTCCACTGACAAGCCGATGATTGCTGCATGCATGACCTGTGCCCGGACTAGAGTATTATCTGTGGACAGTAGTACATGTATCAGCTTGCCACAGCAACACCGAGGTCACATTACCTGCACTAAACAATATGAGCATAGACCTAAATCCAACATGCGCAGAAGTGCGGATTGCAACACCACGGAACTAACCATAGCTCCTCGAGCTTCCGCAGCTGATACACGTGGTTAGTGCAGTAGGTCATGTACAGTTTGTTCATGCATTCACACAGCTGTTCAATGCAGAACACACGGGAGAGAACAGCAGACAAAGCAACTTTCGAGCAAAGGAATAGATTGGCTTGCCAAGGAGACACTCTGGTGAGAATTTCCAGACAAAAAACTTTTTTAATAGCACTCTACTATATGTACAATGCAACCAACTATCTCCATAGCACTCAGACACACCTAAGATATCCAGCTATCATCCGGACCAGGGTAAGTTGTCCCGTGTCCGATGAACTCCGTATGCTCGAATAATGTTTGCCTGATGATCACGCAAGCGTGAAACTCTGAGTTGCAATACAATTCTGTTCCACCTTACTTGTACGGCTCACATATGCAGGAACCTAACGCAGGGCCAGAAAGGCAGTCAGGACTGCCCGTGACTTGTTCCAATTTTTCGAAAACGTTCTGATTTTACAGGTCGTTACATTGGTCAGTGGCCGGCTGTGGTCTGTGAAAAGTAGGTTCCACTGTACTTGCTGCAGCAGCCCACAATGAGATGCAGTTAATTTATCAAAGGAGGTGCATCATTGAAAGCTGGTTTTATGGATGGATGCATCACACTAATGTCGATATCACACCCAGTCAATTGCACTCGGTGAAACTCACTCACTCACTCGCTCACACTAACACACACACAGACCTGACTTACCATGTACTGAAACAAGTCAGACACAGACTCCATATCTCCTCCTTGCTCTGCCTGGCGACTCTTCAGGCCAGAGAGCAGTCTGTCAACAGAACAACGGGTCAAAAAGAAAAATACATCAAAACCAAAATCTGCTGTCATCCACTTGTGATATATGTACGTCACAGTATCCGTTACAAATAATAATTATTTTCTCCAGAGTTGTACTTGACTGTGCAGCGTTTCGTTCTAGATAAGAGCTTTAACAACAGTGCCCATATAGTTCTCCGTTATGTGTTCTGTTTGGCAACTTCACCCTTGAAGAAGATTGTTTAAAAGTCATATTTTGCTGATGTTCTTTAACTGAATAATGCCTGAAGGAATTGGTGTTTGGTGCTGGTTTTCATTTCGATTCGAATATAGTGATGTTGTGCAAGATACTCAAACTGCGTCGCACGTTTAACACATCTACATACCGTGTGCTGGCATCGAAGAGCGCTTCAATGTTGCTGAAGAGAGCTTTGACGGCAGGTTTGTCGATCACGCGTAGCTCTTCGGGCAGGTCCGGGCTGAAGTCCCGTGCACGCACAAATCTCTCCACCATGGTACGCAGCGTGTTGTTGTAGACTTCCTCGTGCAAAATTATCAGTTGTATATACTGCAAGTAATCACATGGAGATACAGTAATACCAGTGTTTAGTGATCAATATGATTGCTTTGTAAGTTGCTAATCCCATCCCCTTTTGTGTACGTGCTTTTCATTTTCTTTTTCCTCTTCTTCCGTGGTTGGTCTCACCCTCTCCTCAAATCATTCGGCTGTCTGACATGCTACGAGGTGCACACATACAATGTATAAAACAAGTAAGACAACCTGTGCCTGGTGACCACTGTGATAGAAGACAACCCGTGAGGCTGTGTCTAGTGACGACCACTGCAATGTGAACTTCTTGTGAAAAGCTCCCTTGTGCAGATAGAAATGAGCTGCCACAGCAGTGCCCAGTTGCCATTAGGAGGATAAAACGGAAACGATTGTAAAATAACGCTGATAATGGGCCAGGGCCGAATATTCGGTGTGATATAAATTGATTTGTATCGCAGTAAAGAGGCCGTAATTGGAGTTGAGGAGTGAAGTTTCATACAAGAATGTGCACTATTGAAAACAGAGAAGGGTTTCTAAAGAGTAAACACACACACACACACACACACACACACACACACACACACACACACACACACACACACACACACACACACACACACACATACACACACACATACACACATACACACACGCACACACGCACATACCTGGTATTGGAGGTCACTGCCTTTGTCTTGCGAGCTGACGGACTGATGCAGCGCAGGAACAGAAAACACCACATGGCAAGCAGTTAGTGGCGAAAAAACACACTGGGAGGCCCATCTGATATTACCATATCACTTTTCACCATACTCCCACTATTGGCCGAGCTCTGTCTACAAAAAGGTGCAGTCTCAAAGAAAGAAAACATAGCCAGACATATATTGTATGCATTCCTATCCACTTGTCATTGGCAGTCGTTTGACTAGCCAGGAAATGTTGAATAAATACAAACACAAAAACAAATGTAACTCGGATGTGATTTCGGATGGGATTTCTTCTATTTTAACAAAAAGAAATGTATCTACAAATCAGGAAGAGCCGCTTTACACCTATGATAGGTGCTCGGAGACTGAGATCCTGGGTCTTCAAATATAGTCAACACAGTGTACAGTGAACAATCATGATCGTATCCGGTCCCTAGTACCATTGCCTTTCACAAGTCAGACTAATGATTTTCTTAACGAAAAAAACACGTGTACAGCGCAGAATGCGGGAATGGACAGTTTCAATTAAAAACTAAAATTCTCAGAAGTCCAGTTTGGAGAGTACTTTGAAACATGAGATTGATCAACATGTAAACAGAAAATCCACATGCTTTGTATTAGAATCCGAATCACCAGAACACCCCATTTAGAAGATCTATCACCTAAGCCTGCAGGTAGCTGTCCTTACAAAGTTCTCTGGGCAACTGAGGTCGAAGTCTCTACTACCCTCTTTCACAATCCACAACCAAGCAAGCAAGCATACATACCATTTTGCTGTCGGTGCGCCCTAAGTGAGGGCGTCGCTGACGACCCTGAATGAAGCTGGGGAACTTGCCAAAGCGCACAGCGTTCAGGCCGGTTTTCATGAACAAAGGATACAGCTCACGTCCATCTGTATTGAATGTAAATATAAGTTCAAGCCAGGAATGAACTAGGTTAGAGGTCTAACCATGGCGTTGAGACAGTTGAGAGAGAGAGAGAGAGAGAGAGAGAGAGGGATTCTAATAAGCACGCCTCAACCCACCGCGAATTGACCTGTCCGGCAAATAGTGATGGCATCGGGACGAATGCGTCAGTATACACAACCGCCTGCTTATCTACCCCATGCCTCCCCCAACAGCACATACATACTCCCCCCCCCCCACACACACACACGCACAAACACACACACTTACTTTCACTGTAGAGATCCTCTGGTCGGAGAGCAGACGCTGCATGTGCTGATGCCAGCTCTGCCGGTGGCTCACCAGGAGGATCCAAGCCTTTAGCAGCCTTCAGTATGTAACCTCTACTGGCTTTCATTGTGGCCATCCTGCACTTGTCAATCACATGCGGTGCCTGGCCGGAATCTCTACCTTTCGAAGCAAAGTACCCATCGTCATCTTGAGGGGCCTCGTACACAGACTGGGTTTCCTCGTCAAACTCGAAGTCGTCCATCTCATAGAAAGAGCCAGTAACTGACCCTGCTGGATCAGTCCAGGTGTCCTGTAGATGCGTGTAAGTCTCATCAGACACAGAAGATTGGTCCGGCGCTTGATACGCAGAAGCACCGGCGGCCCCCGCGCCGAACATGCTTATCCGAGGTCCGAGACGATCCACTACACGCTTGGCCACCGCCTTCCTGTGGTCCGGTCGGACTTGTCTCACTGCTGTTTGCACGGCGGGTACTGATTCGTAGGTAAGCTCACCTGCTTCCTCGTCTTCTTGGTCACCGGGCTGCTCGCGTGCCCATCCCGGCGCACGCACAGGTCCGTCGCTCTCACGATGTGGAACATCTATAATGACATCGTCGTAAATGTCACTGCTCGATTCAGGGGAAGTACTGCTGCGACCCACCGCACTGTCCGGGGTACCTGTGCCACTGCGCTCCCCACTTTGGCCCCTGGAAAATTTGCTCAGTTTCTCATTCAGCTCCTTGAACGGAGACACCGCGTGGATAACGGGAGGCTCTGGGTAATCCTCCTGCACACCAGATTCACGCTTATGACTGCCAAACACGGCGCTAGACGCAACCCGACGGGGCACCGATGGCGGACTCAGGCACTTGTCGTGTTTCGGAGAAACCTTTGGAAGAGGTTTGGTGGGCGGTGCGGGCAGGACACTGTGCTGCTGCTGTTGATGATTGTCGGACCGGCTGGACGGTCGAGATGTTCTCTCCGTGTTAGCCGAGCCAGCCGCATTATGAAGTGATCCCACAGAGCCATGCTGGGCAGCTCCCTTACTGCCTAGCTTGCTAGAACTGGGGCATTTGCTGGTGCGCTTCGTATTCGGCGAGTTGGGTTCGCTGAAGCTGCCGAACGAGGATCTGTTCTCGGCCTGTATGGTCTTCATGGCTTTGGGTTTGACGGCAGGTCTGGGACGTACGGTGACCTGCGAATCGCGCTCGCCTAGCGCCGAGGTCGAGACTGACGAATTTGGCAAGGGCTTGCGCGGAGGACTAGGGGGCCTCTCGGTCCTGCTGCGCGGGTGTCCCGGTCCGCGCTCCGATCTGGCGCAAACGACGGGCGGACTAACGGTTCCCGAAGGCGCGGAATCGAAGAGCGACGGCTCGTCAAAATTTCTGCCGCCGAAGGATATGGCCTCGGCTGATGAGAAATCCATCGGTCGATACAAGCCAGCGGAATTGGGACTATCTACGCTGGACATTCTATTGGTAATCAAACCATCATCCATTGGGGCCTCGTAGAAATCTTCCATAGTGCCGCCGGCGTATGCTTCATACAGCTCCTCCGATGGCTGTGTTTCCAGCTGAGGCGGCGGCGAACGTGTGGGTGGTGTTGGCAGCCAGGTGGTCTGCTGCTGCTGCTGCTGTACAGGCATGTCGCCTTGGCTGCGCCTGGGCTTGAGTGGCGGCTTGGGGATCGGCTTTGGGGGCCCTTCGGAGTGTGTCGGAGATTCGGACTTTGTCGGCTTGCGGTCATTCTGCAGTGGTGAAGTGGGCAGCTTGGCTCTCTGCTCCGGAAGCCGGCCAGGCTTTGGCTTTGGTGCCGGCGACGCACTCGGCTTGGGGTTTGGCGGAGGTGACGTTAGTTTAGGCTTTGTCGGGGGCGGTGGACCAGGCTTCTTCCCTCGCCCGACCGTTGGTGCCGGCCTGACTGGCAGGTCCAGAGCAGAGAAGCGCTTAGATCGATTCGGGAGAGAAGGACTATTGGTCACTTGGACGGAGTACCGTTGCTCCTTTGGCGAGGAGCGTCGCGACGACACCTGCGCCCTCGCCTGCGGGGAAACTGGCAGCCGGTCCTGGTGGCTGTTCTCGTCGCTGGACACCAGCATGCGTCGCTCGGCCAGAGCCGAGGTCAGCTCCGAGCGGTTGAGGACGTTGCGAGGCGCCGCCTGGCTGGAGCTAGGCGGCGGTGGCAGGGGTTTCGACGTATGCGACGACATGCTCTGTAGAAAACACACCAAGGTCAGAGAAGGAAACCCATGGTTTTAGGCAACCAGTCCAGGCCGTACACAGCTGCATCAAAATACACAGTTCTTACGGCCGAGTCAATGCTTTCCCTGGCGATACAATCATGTAGTAGAACTACGTTACTTCGATATACTGACTTCTGTAGTACTGCAGAGATGCCAGCAGGCCATCATCAGTACACGACATGCATGTCCTGTGCCTGTGGACCTGTTGTTTAGCCACGCCACAACACCCCAGATATTGAAATAACCACACTCTGTATGAGCGTGGTGCTTCTGCTTCATTTAGACTAAATTAGAGTTTGGAAGCCTTCCCCCAGCAACTATGACAGTTCACAACACAGAACACACAAGCCCTGGAACAAAGCATTAGCAGAGAGCATTGCTCATCCTGTTGCCGCGTTGGCCCACCAGATGACAGCCACACAAACCATGTAAACACGCCAGATCACACTTCACAACCACATCAACACACCCACAGATAGCATGCTGCACATAGACCTACGCGTTTGACACGGGAGTGGACCATAGCAAGCGCCATCTTCACAAACAGTGAAGCACCGCTCTCCCCGTTGTCTAGCGCTCAGCAACGGACACTCAATGAAAACAGCAACAAACGTTAACTAGTAGTAGTAGTTGCTACTTGGAAGTGGGAGAAAGGGAAAGTAAGTTTTCTCATTCGTCACGCTGATCTCCACTGCACTACTACTACTAGTTCTAGCACTAGAACGCGCATCACGGCCTTTTCATGAATGACTGATTTGTCATAGTTCCGAAGCTAGGCCAAGCGAAGGACCTTGCGCGCTGGATGACCCTCTTCTATTGGGTACGTTATTCCGGCAACCAGCATCTGTAACGACACTGCCTAGCCAATTTTCAAGTGCTTCCCTCAAAACAATACTTGACACGCACGCGAGAGGACAAAGGGCTGGTAGCCAGGACACTGCATGCGTCTTTCAGTGATTGCATTTCGGACACACGTGGTCTCTCCTCTTATCGATCCTTTTCAGCCCATCTCCATCTCGCCATGCCAGTGACCTCAAACCAGATGCACAGAGTGTAGGGAGACACTTATCCTTCGCTCACATGATATCCTCGCACTTCGGCTCAACAAAATCCATGACAGCGCCATCCAGGCCTGGACAAACACCTGAACACCAGGAAGGGCAAGACGCCAGGATATGACCCCGCGTCGCGTGTCGGAAGAACGGTCGACATCAGATTACCGGCACAGTGCACACGCATTCGGAAATCTCAATTCTATTGTTGCTCAACCATAAATACAAGCGTGCAAAGGCGTTGCAGAACAAGTACTGGAGTTAAGCGGAAAGATGGAACCTGTCCAAGGGTCCGGACAAAGTAATAATTATCGGCAAAGGGGATAACCCAGGTACTGTCGGCTGCTTCGTCTAACACATACAGCGCAGACCTAACGAGTACAACTATCTCCGAGTGCTAACACTTTTTTTAGTAACGGACTATATCTGCTGTAAGCTTGAAGAACTGAAGCAGGCCCTCAGTAGATCTACCTACACCGGCCGTTAGATAGTGTCGCTAAGTTCAGCCACGAACTGCGCGCAACAACAGGGATTTCCGTCCGTTTCCCTTTCTGTTCAGCGTAAAAAGGCTGAGAACGACAGCGGGCGTAAGCCCAGAGCGGCGTCTTGCTGAAAATATATTTCCACTGGTGAAACAGCGTGCAGACGAGTACGACAACAGTATGAATACAGTCACAAGCATGCAGGAGTAGGAGCAGTACAGTGTTACTGCAAAATTGGTAATAACATTATGCTCATCGAGACTCACAGAAAGTCGTTGCTTGCTTTTCTGTAAAATGTTACTGCTGCCTCCAGTCTGCTTCTGCAGGAAACGCGGAAGAACGCCGGCTTTCCATGCACACGACGCCGACTACGTCCTTACCGAACAATCCTGGACTCCTGGAAAATAGCACAATGCCCCACGCCTAGACTAGAGAGGGACATTGCCACAATGCCACAACCGTTTCTCTCCGAGGAACGTTCTCTGGATTTTCCACTATC